ATTTAAAATCAATGATCATTGATTATAGATGTTCACTGATTCTAAACAAAAAATCAGTTATATTCGATTTTAATAATTATCGATTATATCTGATTGCAATTAATTATAATTGATTATTAACAATCGATGATAATTGATTATTGGATAATAATTGATTATAATTAGATATAAAAATTTCCTGATGCTAGATGAATCTGATATATATACGTGACAATTTGTCATGCTGATCACTTTTTGGCAATTCATATCAATCAACTTCTTGAAAAAATCATTCACAATACTTCGAATTTGAATATCCTTTAGACTTGAAATGGCACTTGCACTATAAGTTACTTGACTAATTTTATCTATTCCTATTCCTTTATATAATATATAGACTTTTTTTGCTCTGGAAATTATTTTACGCAAGTTGACATCAGTAATATCAGGAAGAAGCAATTTAATTTCGTTATATACTAATGTTCTTGCTAATTGATCATTAATATTATTTGCAGTCTTAATATCACTGATTCTATTCTGGTATGCTTTATAATAACAATACCAGTACAAACTTTCCTTTTGTCGAATCTTCATTGCTACCCTAAATAGATTAATGATACTTTGTGACGTAATGCTATTAGATTCTGATAAAATTGCTTCTAAAGAGAATTCAGGAATTTGAATATCAGATATTTTACTAATCTTGTGATTATTATCTTTGGTACAAATAGATAGCTCGAGTCTTAAATCTCATTCTACTTTTTGATTATAAGGAATTTTTGTGAAGCAAAGCACTTCATGTCTCTGATTAAATGATACATTAGTAGGCGATTTAGACTCAGAATCACATGATAAATTATTATCCGAAGATACTCAGAACTATTAGAGATAGATTGTGATATTATAGATGATTCCAGATTTTAATTTTCATAGGATGGTTCCGATGAAGTACTATCCAAAGATGAATTTTGATCTTGAAGTTTTTTTCTCCTAATTCTCTTCATTGTTGCTTTACTAACATGTTCTTTATGTTTCATTTCTACAAAATCAAGAGCTTCATCCATATCGTCATTGACAATATTTTGTGACAAAGAGGTTGTAGATGATTCAGTTTTTTGGACCTGGGTTGAGCTATGATCTATTCCAGTTATAGAATTGTGAGTAATAGCTTTCTCCTTATCAGGTTGACTCTCATTAAGTGATGAAATTTCTTTCATGAGAATATCATCAAAATTTGAAGTGTTATCAGATATATCTGATGCCAAAACATCCTCAGTTTGTAAGTTTATTTGTTCAGGGATAGCACTAGAATTTTCCATTTCGATAGAAACACTTACTATCTTTTTCTTAGAAATTGACAATTGCTCCGGAGAATTAGTGATTATTCTCTTTGATTTTATTTTCTCGAAATCACAGCTTAATTTTGCTACTTTGATTTTAAGCTCAGAATTTTCAGCTGAGAGATAGGTGATATCTTTTTTATTTTTTTCCAGTTTCATCTTAAGATTAATGTTCTCAGTTTCACGTTTAGCATTTTCTTCAATAATTTGTATTTTCAGCCTTAAGATCAATAACCCGTTGTTTCAATAAATCAAACTCAGATTGCATTTTAGTAATTTTTTATATAAAGCAGATTTATTTAATTTTTAATTAGAATTTCCATTCCAATTTTGAATGCAGATCACTTTCGCTAAGAAAGTTATTCTGGAAAAATTATTGATTATACATATACAATGTACGAAAAAATTACTAGTGCGTGACCATTTGTCATGCTGATCACTTTTGCCAAGAAAAAATAATTACAATCTCATATCGCAGAAAGCGTGGAAAATAATTGATAAGTGGAATATATCAGACAATCACCCAATTAAGATGAGGTAATTAATAATGTGTCATTTTATATCTGAGATAATTATTACATAATCTATTTTGGGTGTTAAATCTATTTCGGGTGTTAATTCTATTTTGAAATAATCATTGCATTGTATGATCTATTTCTGGTTTAAATCTATTTTGGGATATGTGATCTATTTTGGATATATGATTGAATTTTCCAATATGACTATATAACTCATCACTTGATCATGTTTTCAATAAATAATGAAAAAGTGATATCTTTATTGAGATAAATATAAAAAATATATAATTATCATATCATGGAGTGAAAATTGTAGTACTATCTTCTCTCTGTCTTTCTAATGTAATTACTAATGCGTGATATAAAAAAGATAAGTTAGTAATTATTATATTTCGTAAAATTAATAAAGTTTCTATAAATTTAGATATGACTTTTTCATCTGATAATTGTACAGGAATTTCAACAGATTGAAGATGGTAATATCTGGGTATATTGGCTTTATTCTAAACAAGAGCGTTCAAGTGTAATATATTTTTCGCTACTTGTATCCCTACAATACCAAACTGTTCTTTAGCGGGGTTGAGACTCTGACGTACCCAACAAAGACCATCATTTGCCTCCCGCCACAATTTTATCTCATTATCCACCTTTTTTTGTGAAGTACAAAATAAGCGGGAGCATTCGATATACATAAGTTCAAAGATCGTCCTGAGATAATTTTCCAGGAACATAATATCTGGGCGTCTTCCCTTATTCTCTCCTTTTCTATTCGCACTGACAATGCTTTGCTTTTCTGATGTACTAACAAAAAATGAATTTTTAATAGGAAGATTTTTTAAAACAGCCTGAATTGTAGTTATAATGACAGTTGATTGGTATATTCCTTTATTTACTAATCTTGCGAGATCAGAATTGAATGCTGAATTATTCTAAACATCTTTCAAAACGTTTAAAATTTCTTTAACGACACATGCAATATCTCCATCGGATTCCTTCCAAGTTTTATTATGTGTTCATTTCAGCTTTAATCTTTTGTTACGCCTTTTAAAATCTTCTATGAATTTCTTATATATCTCTTGAACTATTGGTCTGGGATTTGGTATCATATTACGAGCGATTTTCTAATACAAAATATACATATACATTATTAGTGATAAAAATACGTGTTAGTATACTTATATTAAATTCTTACCATAAACCCCTTTTTTAAGTTCTCTTGAAGATTTTTCACAAGGTCTGATTTGTCACTGATAACCTGGCTTGCCATAGGGTCTTCCCAAGATAATTCTTCGACACGTATCTTATTCACACCGGAATATAAATGTTGATAGAGGGGGCTTGTATTTCTGTTAAGTTTCTCTTTCAGCTTTTCTATATTATCCCTAATCTGATCTCGATTAAGGAGTTTCTCCTTATTTGTTTTAACAACTCCAAAATCCCATAAACTACAAATCCCCTCAAAAGCAATCTCAAACTAAAATAAAAATATAATGTATTAGTTTCAGTTATATCAGCAGAGCTGGCACAGCC